TTATATATAATTATACATAATTATATATAAAACGTGTCCATTTATATAGTTATATAAAATTATATATATAATTTTCTATAATTTTATATAATTATATATAAAACATTTTTTCCCCGGATAGTTATTCTCTAAAGTTCATATTTGACATAAGTAAGAATCAATCGCTCGGTGAGTAGATTGCATTCCGAAACTCATTAAAAAAAAAGTGTTGCAACTTTTTAATCGGTGAGTGTACAGTATGCATCATTGATGCCTTCCGACTTGAAATTTATAATTTCCTCCGATCGTACACATCATATCTATATACACTGTTAAAAACACCGCTTTCCTTTTAGGAGACACAGTCGACACAAGTGTCGTTCTATCTTTGTCACTCTCTGAATGTCAAGAAGAATAGAACGATGTGACACTTATGTCGATTTATGTCATCAAATGGAAAGCAGTTTGATATCCAGTTTGAAGTTGCTACTACTTGCTAGCAGTTCATGTTACATAGTCAAAGGATGCGTTCCGTTTCTTGCATGAAGCGCATGAGTACCTATTTAGTGCATGGTATGGAGTGCAGGGTACGTTCCGTTTCTCCAATACACTCCATGCGATTTTAGTAACGGAACGGATTCGCAGTGAATTCATGCATTGATGAACATGGACGACAATTTAAAATTGACTGAATTACAAATGCATTCAATAATTACAGTTACATCTTTTTTTTGACAAAAGAAGATTTATATTCAACCGAAATTTTCATAATATCAGTATACGCGTAATGTTTCGGTAAAACCAGTATTATACCGTATATATATATATATATATATTATATAATATATGTATACATATATGTGAAATGTTAAAAAAAAATTTTTGGGTATTCTGAGCACTCTACTTACTTATCTTTAATCCTTACATAATTTTGAGAAAACATTCGCCCCAGCCGAACCACTATTCATTTCAGTTTCGCACTAAAATATGTTGAATGCATAAACTGCATGAACTGCCTCAGCTTGAGAAGTGAGGCACTTCATGCGGTCTCTTGCACCGGAAGAGGCGGGG